TTGTATTTATTAGTTTTAGGTGTGCAGCATAATAATTAGGCAATCATATACTTTACAGAATGTTTTCCCTGACACTTCTAGTACCCACCAGGCACTAGTTATCACAATTTTACTGACTATGTTTCCTCTGCTGGACTTCAAACCCCGAGACTATTTTGTAACTACCAGTCTGTACTTCTCAACCCCTTCACCTTTTCACCCAGCCCCCCAACCCCCATCCCACCTGCCAGTCTGTTCTCTGTGTCTGTGAGTCTGTTTGTTTTGTTTGTTTACTTTGTTCTTCAGATTCCACGTGTAAGTGAGATGATATGGTATTTGTCTTTCTCTGATTGGCTTATTTCACTGAACATAATACCCTCTGGGCTCATCCATCTCCGGCTGCTGTCCTTAATCACCCCACTCACCCTTTATCACTGAAGTCTTCACCCGTAGGAAGCTGGGTCAAAGACAAACTGAATTTAATGTTCTATAAAACAAGACAAAATCTGGCGAATTAAAACATAATAGATACAAGAAGCAAGTCCATTTGGCAAATTGGCTCTTCTATGACCTCAGGGCACTGGCCAGCTTCCCAGTCACTACGATGAACTTGGGCACCTTATCAGGTTGAAGGCCTACAAGGGACAACAGAGAGCACTTAGTGCAGTCCATGCGCTCTGCCACTGGAGGCGGGAGCTCTAGGGGCACCAAAGCTGCCTTTCTTTCTTTCTTTTCTTTTTTAAAATATATTTTATTGATTTTTTACAGAGAAGAAGGGAGAGGGATAGAAGTTAGAAACATCGACAAGAGAGATCGATCAGCTGCCTCCTGCACGCCCCCCACTGGGGATGTGCCCGCAACCAAGGTACATGCCCTTGACCGAAATCGAACCCGGGACCCTTCAGTCTGCAGGCTGACGCTCCATCCACTGAGCCAAACCGGTTTCGGCTGCCTTTCTTTTTTACCGTGGCTCCTAAAACAGTGCCAATCACACAAGTTTGCTAATGGAAGATTGAAGTAGGAAAGCCAGGCCACACAATTCTAAGTGGCTTGTCTAGGGCCACACAGCCAATTAGTGGCGAGGCCAGTCCTAGAACTCGGGTGATTCCACTTTTACTAATTTGTATAATATCAACAATGTTTCTATTTTGAGTCTTTTAGTCCTAATTATTATATGAAAGACTTCATCTCCTCTTTTTTCTCTATATTTTATTTTTCCATCATCATTGATCCCCGTGTACCCTCCTCCAACCCCTCTCTGCAGTCACCACCTCCATCTCCCCTTAAGGCAGTACAGTGGCCGAAGAACTGGAAGGATTTCCTCTGTTGGGAGAATCCACATGACATAGTCTCTTCTTCTTCCACCTTGGGCACAGTCGTCAGAGTTCTCTCCTTTCCTATTTCTTCCCCAGATGAATAGCTTGGTTAGCGCTTACAGTGCATCTGAATTTGAATATAGATGCGCCCCCCCCCCCCACACACATAGATACACAAGCACAGGCACTACTGGGTGTTCCTGGGGAGACATATTAAAATTCCTGACTGTATCAACCCTAGAATCCTATATAATAAAAGCCTAATATGCTAAGTGTCCGACTGTTCATTTGGCCGTTTGACTGGTTGCTATGATATACACTGACCACCAGGGGGCAGACCCTCCAACCAATAGGTTAGCTTGCTGCTGGAGTCTGGCTGATCGGGACTGGGCAAGACAGGCCAGATGCGCCCTGGAGCCTTCCCATGGTCCCTCCCTGGCCCCGATAGTGCACTGGTGGGGCCCCTTGCATGGCCTGTGGCCTCTCCCAATCTGGGACCCCTTGGGGGATGTCAGCGAACTGGTTTTGGACCAAGCCCTGCAGGCCAGGCCAAGGGACCCCACCAGTGCACGAATCTGTGCACGGGTTCTCTAGTATGCTATAAGAATTCTTCATGTGAATTACAACTTGACTGACTGCAAACCAATTTCTGCAATTCCGACCTTGCATGTTGTTTTTTCCCCCAGGGGCTCATATTTGAAACCACCATTTGCTGTTTGTTTCCAGACCACGGTGCTGTGGAGGGAGCAGCCACATGGGCCTCCCACCCTAACTGACCGCTATGCAGCGAGGAGCGAGGCTCAAACCCCAGGTGCCCAGTGGACGGCCTGCCTGCGCTAGCTGGTCCAGGAAGCTGCCAGCTGGAGGCCCAAGGCCGGCTTTTAGCTGCCCATCACCAGAGGCTCCCCTCTCCCCAGCCCGAGATCACAAGTCCCGGGGCTGAGGTCTCAGATGCCCTGAGGTGTTCCCGACAGCACTTGCAGAAGTCTGCGCCTGAATCCTCTCCCCTTGGCACCAAAGTAACCGAATGTCGCCATGGACAAGGCCACCTTCTCACTCGTGCCCTGAAAGGGAGCAAGGAGGACGCGAGGGGCCAGCCCTGGAGCACAGACACTTGGTGGCGCTGCCTGTCCTTCTGTGGTTGACCCGGCTGTGGATGTTTTCCACTTCTCAGTGGGTCCTCAGCTCCTGACCCTCCCTTCAGTCCACGCACTTCTCTGCAGGAAGCCTGCCCTCCTCCCTGAGCACCACCCGGCTGGGCCCACGGCTGTCCCTGCTCACAGGCCCCTGCTGCTACTTCTGTGCAGGGACAGGGACACGGAGAGGCCCTCCTGCCCTCTCCTCCCCAAGCCTGCCTGCCTGTCCGTCTATCTATCTATCTATCTATCTATCTATCTATCTATCATCTATCTATTTATCTATCTGTCTACCATCTATCATCTCTATCATTTATACTATATCTCACAGTGTCCCACTGCCAAATCAAGGAAGGAAATAAACAGGTTTTAGTTATCTTCTCTTCCGGGGAATAACATTCCACTTCCTCCTACCTCCCTACTGTCAAACCCTAAATATAAGAACCAGAGAAATGGAATAAATGTCCCCAAAGAAATACTCCAAATCGCATTCTTGTCCTGGTTCCCAAACCCCTGCATGTATTCCAGTGCACGCAGGCTCCTGCTGGGCAGTAGGTGGCCCAGGAATCCTTTTATTGCATTGAGAGCTTTCGTTGAAAGTGTTTACCCAGCGAAAATGAGAACTTAAGCTATTGGGTTGACTGGCTTTTTCCTAAGAACTGTCCAATCCTAAGGCTCAGAGAAGGTTTCCCCATTTTCATCTTCTGCAAAATGAAACGTCAGGTGAGCTGCTGGCAGCTGTGCCGACTGCCGGTGCTTCTGTGCGGTTGTCTCGGTTTCCACGTGGAAAGATGACCAGGACCCCCAGAAGCCCCTGGGCGGCAGCTGGAATTGTGACGGTGGTTCTCACGGTGCTGAGGACGCCCCTGGCTCACCGCAGAGGGACCCCCGGTGAGTGCCGGGCAGCTGCTCTGCCAGCCCCCAGGCCTGGGGGCTCTGGGAGCTCAGGGGCTTGGGGTTGGTGTGTTGCACTCTGAAGTCCCAGGTAGACTTGGAAGGGCTCCCATGACAGTCCAGATGTCTCTGCCTTAGGAAGAAGAGTTTGCTACGTTCTTTTCTCCAACCTCTGCAGCTGAAAGGAGGGTAGGGTCTTTCTTTCTTTCTTTCTTTTTTTAAAAATATTTTTATTGATTTCTGAGAGTAAAGGAGAGGGAGAGGGAGATAAAAACATCAATGAGAGAGAATCACTGATCGGCTGCCTCCTGCACATCCCCTATGGGGAATTGAGCCAGTAACCTGGCGTGTGCCCTTGACTGGAATCAAACCTGGGACCCTTCAGTTCACAGGCCGACGTTCTATCCACTGAGCCAAACCAGCCAGGGCAAAAGGAGGATACTTTCTCTCAGGGATGGGCTTTGGGATCTCAGAGTTGGAAGAAAAAGTACATTTTTACCAAAACAAAGTTACCGAACTACTATTACTTTACCCTCTTCAATCCTCAACTGAGGATATACCCATTGCTTTAATTAATTAATTAATTAATTTTAATTTTTACCCATTTATTTTATTTTATTTTTATTTTTTAAGTGTATTTTATTGATTTTATACAGAGAGGAAGGGAGAGGGATAGAGAGCTAGACACATCGGTGAGAGAGAAGCATCAATCAGCTGCCTCCTGTATGCACCCAGATGGGATCGAACCCACAACCTTTTCCATGTATGGGACGATGAAGTTGAAGTTATCAGTCTTTGCTCCTTATGGCCAGTGCTTTTAATGATCTGTGTGAGAAGTCTTTACCACCCAGAGTCATGAAGGTGGCGTAGCATGGCCTGTTCACGCAGGTGTAGTTGCATCTGGTGCGAGGCCCATGCCCGCTTTGCTCTCTCCCCCACCACTGGGACACCGTTTATTAACAACAGCACCTTTTTCCACTGAGCTACAATGCCACTGTGGTCTTAAACTTACTATAAATATATGCCTGGAACTAATTTTGATATATAGTTTGCCATCTGTTTATTTTCCTATGTCTGTGTCAATAACACAGTTACAATTACCAGTTTTATTTGATATTTTGATATTTAGTAGAGAAAAATTTTTCATAATATTTACTTCTTCAAGAGTAGTTTGGCCAATCCTTGCTATTAAATTTTAGAATCTCCCTGGTGTGGCTCAGTGGATAGAGTGTAGGCCTACACACCTAAGGGTTGAGGGTTCGATTCCCTGTCAAGGGCACATACCTGGGTTGCAGGTTCGATCCCCAGCCATGGTTGGGGCATGTGTGGGAGGCCATTAATCAATGTATTTCTCTCACATTGATGTCTCTCTCACTCTCATCATTCCCTCCCTTCCACTCTCTAAAAACACCAATAGAAAAAATATCCTTGCATGAGGATTAATAAATGTCTCTCTCACTCTTATCATTCCCTCCCTTCCACTCTCTAAAAATACCAATAGAAAAAATATCCTATTAATAACAACAACAAAATTTTAGAATCATTTTGTAAAGTTTTAAATAATTAAAAACTGTAGGAATTTTAATTGATATGCATAAAATCCATAAATTCACTTGGCATAATTGTCATCTTTATTATACCTTTTAATTCAAAATATATCTTTTTATTTATTTGGGAATGTTTTGATATATCTCATCAAATTTCATTATGTCCTTCAAGAAATCTTGTATATCTTTTGTAGGTCTTATTCCTAGATAAAAATTTTTTTTGATGTGGTAATAATTGAAAAATTGTTCTTGGTCTATATAATGTTTTAAAATACATCTTGTATGAAGCTACTTGCTAAACTATCGCTTTACATCCATTTAGCAATAGATTGTTTTCCATTTCTTTATTTGCAGATTCCTTATATGCAAACACTGACAGTTTTATCTTTTCGTTACCAATCATTCACTGTTCCACTGGTTTTCCTGCTTTACCTTCGGTTTTCTCTAATAAATGCTCAGTTCAGGACTTGAGGCCAAGAAGGCATCGAACTCCTTCCTGGGGATAAAATTCGGGGGGTTGAGAGCAGGTTTTATTGAGCCGCGTGGCTGTACTGGTGTCTCCCTTCCCCAGCGCCCGCCGGGTGGTGGCTGAGACACAGGGGGACTCCTCAGCGCCCGCCGGGTGGGTGGTTGACACAGGCCCTCCCACCGCAGCGGACTTCGTGTACCAGTTTAAGGGCACCTGCTACTTCACCAACGGGACGCAGCGCGTGCGGCTCGTGGCCACACAAATCTACAACCGGCAGGAGATCGTGCGCTTCGACAGCGACGTGGGGGTGTTCGTGGCTGTCACGGAGCTGGGGCGGCCCCACGCCGAGAGCTGGAACAGCCAGGAGGACCTGCTGCTGGTGTACCGGGCGCAGGTGGACGTGCTGTGCAGACACAACTACAAGGAGACGGCCCCCTTCACGGTGCAGCGGCGAGGTGGGCGGGCGGCTCCTCGCGCAGCCTCGCGCCGAGGCCGGGAAGGAATCTAATGTGGTTGCCCAAGATCCCGGTGGTCCTGGGGGTTCACCTTCCGGGAGAAGTGGAGGCAGGCCGGAGAGGGGCCCGGCATCCAGGCGGGAGGAGCTCTGCCTTGGGCAGCGCTGGCGGTCCCTGCTGGGAACTCAGTCCTCCCTCAGTCACAAGGCCCTGCCCACGGGCCCCCTACTGACAGCTCCTGTGGCGCCTGGACCGCCCGGGGTCAGAGCTGGTCCCCGCGCTGTGCACATGTGTGTAGGGATATGCACACATGCAGAGCTTAAAAATGGTCAGTGCATGTTGCAAAGAGTTTCACATAAATTATCCTGTTTAATAAACAAGCAAACACCGAGTAAAGGTATTATTTCCCTAGAAAGCAGGCTTACAAATTATCGGTAGCGGGTTCATACCCAGGGCGGGGGTGCTAATGAAGACAGCTGAAACCGTGTCCCTCTGCTGCCGTGAGAGAGGAGGGCCTGGAGGGGTAGAGGGGGGCGCTCAGCCTCCAGAGCCCCTCCCCGGCCTGCCTCCACTTTTCCCAGGAACCTGAACCCCCAGGACCGGGATCTTGGGCAACCACATTAGATCCCTTCTCTGCCTCACATCTTCTTCCTGGTCACCCTCCCAGTGGAGCCCACAGTGACCATCTCCCCGTCCAGGACAGAGGCCCTGAACCACCACAACATGCTGGTCTGCTCGGTGACGGATTTCTATCCAGCCCACATCAAAGTCCGCTGGTTCCGGAACGACCAGGAGGAGACAGCTGGCGTCGTGTCCACTCCCCTGATTAGGAACGGGGACTGGACCTACCAGGTCCTGGTGATGCTGGAAATGAGCCCCCAGCGAGGAGACGTCTACACCTGCCGCGTGGAGCACCCCAGCCTGCAGAGCCCCATCACAGTGGAGTGGCGTAAGGGCTCCTCATGGCACCCGGATGGGAAGCGCAGAGGCAGGGAGGACCTGGGCCTGGCGGGTGGGTTGCCCCTTAGCTCTGGCCACCTACCTCCTGGGTTGGGATCATGGAAGACTGAGGTCCCCTTATCCCCAAGACATGGCCATCCCTGCACTAACCCGCTCCCCAGCTGCAGGTCAGCCCCGGCTTGTGTCTCCCAAGAGCTGGCCTCCAACGTTAATGCAGGTCTCTAGGGGAAAGTCTGTGGCTTCTAGGTGGATGCACTTCCTGAGAAGCTGCCATCACCCCTACACCCTACCCGTCTGCGCTGCCTCCCGGGTCCCTGCTGCCTCCTGGGTCCCTGCTGCCTCCTGGGTGCAGGTCTCTCGGGGAAGGTCTGTGGGCATCCAGGTGGACACACTTCCTGAGAAGCTGCCATCACCCCTACACCCTACCCGTCTGCGCTGCCTCCCGGGTCTCTGCTGCCTCCTGGGTCCCTGCTGCCCGGACCCCCTGTCTGCTTCCAGAGCTCCTCCTGCCTTGACCTGGACTAGACTCGGGGCTTCCAGATGAGGACACAGTGGAGTGTGGGGACAGACAGTGACCTGCAGGCTTTTACTTCCCAGGGGCACAGTCTGAATCTGCCCAGAGCAAGATGCTGAGTGGAATTGGGGGCTTTGTGCTGGGGCTGGCCTTCCTGGGGCTGGGCCTTGTCGTCCACCTTTGGAAGAAGAAAGGTGAGGCTGGTGGGGAGCGAGTGGGAGCCTGGTGCTGGGAACGCGCCTACCGACCCGAAAGGAAGGGCTGGGGGGTCGGCCGAAGCTGCAGGGACTGGGAGACTAGCTCTCCCGTGGGGCCAGGCTTGCTTCCTCACACAGGTGCGCGGTGAAGGCTCGTTCTCAGGCAGAGAGCAGCTCTCCAGCTGTCCTCACCACTGTCCTCACCGCTGTCCTCACCTCCGTCCTCACCGCTGTCCTCACCTCTGTCCTCACCTCTGTCCTCACCTCTGTCCTCACCGCTGTCC